CCCCAATATAGTAACTAAATTTAAGCTCCTTAACAGCTGCAGGGGCACTACGCCACTGTGAGAATCATTAAGCCTTTCTTCCCCACCCCAAGCTGTCTCGCTTATAGCACATCGAAGGACACTCTTCACTCTTAAGCAGACGGAAAACAGCCCTAGATCTCGACAATCCCAGTTTTGTCAGCGGAGTCCGCAAGAGGTCTCGACTGGTTTGTGTCATGCACCGATGACACTCGCGTGCATCGCACGCAACTGATGAAAGCGGTCCACCTTCCCCAGGCTTCTTGCCAAGGAAGGCATCCGCAAAATCTGCAAGAGAGACGGCAGGTACAGGTCACATGCCGACCTAAAGATTCTGAAAACGATGGCTTTGCCTTAGGGAAATGCTGGCGAAATGCAGCCTTCCAGGTCAGGTCCCCGATTGGGATTCCATGCTATTCCTGAGTGCTACCTCAAACTCCCATTACAGAACCCGGCATTTCATCTTAGAGTGATGGGAAGCTAGCCGCGTGCCTCCTGGAAGGAACTGCTGTCGCCTGCACTATGCAACTATGCACGTGCATGACTTAATTAATCAGACCTTGCCGATAAGGACCGCTAGGCTGCTAGGCCAATCGCGCAGAGTTGACTTTGGCGACAATCAGGTCTCTCTTCTCCCTCCGGCATGAAAGAAATTCGAGAGCTAATGCTTGGGGCGCACGTGGAGGATGAGGACAGTCGAGAACTGTAGCGCTTCGGATCATCGTCTGCTGGCTGGTTCTCTGGGTCTTCAATCACGGACTCGATGCCCATGGAGCGTTTGGCTTGCAAGCGGCGGAAAGGCTCTTTGGCTTCGCTGATGGTGGTGTTCCCCAAGTTGCCGAAGAAGTACGAGTAGCTGCCAGCAACCACCATAGCACCAGCAACGAGGTTGCCCAGGGTAGTTGGCAACAAGTTCTTGAGGAGGATGTCAATGACAGACATATCTCCAGCCTCCACGGTCAGTCCTAGCAGGTAGAAATTGGCCGGG